TCTTCTATCCGCCTCCCACTCTCTCCCTATTTATTTCAGAACCCCCTTCCCCTCCCCCTTTTCTGATGAAGGGTCTAGGCCCGAAACGTCAGCCCCTCTGCTCCTATGATGCTGCTTGGCCTGCTGTGTTCATCCTGCCCTGCACCTTGTTGTCTCGGATTCTCCAGCATCTGCAGTTCCTACTATCTCTACATTCTATAATTGAGTAACTTTGCAATTATCAGTATCAACAGATCTGAAGACTAGTTACTTGTGTAAAATGGCAGTGAATGTGAAGTTGGAATCCTTCAGAAGAGGATAAAAATGGATTATACTTCAATGACCCCAGTCTGAATGGTGATACAAAGCTGAGAAAAGCTGTATCAAAGGACATTCCAGCCCATCTAATGTCTCACATATATCCCTTCCTTTTGTATTGAAGGTTACTGAGCTGTGAAGAACACAATGCATTACTGTGCAACAAGTAAAATATAGAAGGACAGATTTTAATAATCCTAACGCCCAGTGCAAAACTGAAGAAGCAACTTCAGAAATTCAAAGTATGTGCAATTCTTATGGACATCAAACCATAAATTAACATTCCGGAAATGCACTCCCAGCATGCAAGCTCTGCGCTAACAGCCTGGATTCCTAGATAATCTCAGAACTTGACTGTGCATTCATTAAAAAAAGGTCTATTGCTCAATGAGTTCACTTTTCTCAACAGAATATTCAATATGAAAGGCTTAGAATGACTTTCAGGAAATAGTTTTGTGTTTGAAAAGCATTGTTATACACAGAGAAGTTTGAGGATTGAGAAAAATGTTTTTAATTTCTGAGATAAAAAAAAGTCCCAACAATGCACTCTTCTTTTTAGATCTAAAATTAACTTGACAACAGCATTATTTATTCCAGAACATAGGAAAAAAAGAAACTGCCATTTCAGTCTGTAAATCTTTTAGCAAAACTGGCACTTTCAATCCTGGACATCCCTCCTCCAAAAAAATCATCTTGCTTGTGAAGGAGGTATTAACAGTACCCTAGTTCCTTTTGCTGTATGCTGTATGTTTGTGCACAGCCAGAAGTCAATGTGTCAGAATGCTGTTCTGTGTGCACAGAATCTTGAAGCAGCTGCCCAACCACACATCTTACAGGAAACACTGGGTATTAGTGCCTTTTGTTGGTCAACAGCAAATAGCAAAGTAGCAAAATTGATTGGTAATATTCCTCCAGGGATAGAAAAATGAAGATTAACAGAACACAGAACCTATTCTTCGATCAGGTCCCTAGGATTAACCTTGTCAATAAAATTTTCAATTGTGATAAATCCATCAGGAACTTAAAAGTTCAGGAGTGATCACAATGCATACACTGCCCTATCTCACATATAGATTGACTGATATCTTTGCAAATTCATAAGTTTCAGTAAACTCTACGATCTTTTCATCAAGGTGAACTAGCAAACATACTAGAACAGTGGTAAGATTCCAAAACTTATTTTCCACACCTGACAGTCTCTGAGTAGAAATAAATACTACAGACCACACTTTATCAGATACTACCTCAAAAATGCACATTGATGCAAAATCCTTCATATCATAGGGAGGAAAACAGTGTAATACCTTTTGCATCTAATTACTGAAATGCGTTCAGAATCAATTGCACCAGCTCTAGATTATGGTAATTCTACTTTAAATATTCTCAGCAATTAATCATCCATCACTTGCTGAAATATTATCCATTAAATCATGAATTATAATTGGAGTACTTCTCATACACTAAGCAGTAAACAACCAGTTGGGTTGAATAATTGTGAATATAATGTGTGGTATCAGGATTAGATTGGATCTCCTGCATTTAAAACAGATGTCAGCAGTCATTTATTGCAAGCTATCAAAACAGAACTCAGTGCATTACAAATTCAACAACTGTGTTGTCTTTCATTGATGGGAGAAGTCTCTTCCTGCTTCAGCTCATATCATTTGTTTCTGGAATAAAAATAGAAGATGCTAAACACAAACAGCATGCATTGAGAAAACATAAATTAGTTGACAATTGAGTTTCACCTTCTTCAGCATCAAAGATATTATAGATAGGTATCAATTAAGAAACAGATATGGGGATAAGAGGCAGATAAAACACTCAGAGAAAAACAGATGTCGAAATTCATTCATACCTGTAGGTCAGGGTGAGCAGAGGGAAAAATCTTTGTTTCAAAACATGAATCCATCAGTGTCAATCCTCAAGCCACATTTAAGTAATTGTAGCAAGCTGGCAGTGCCTACGTTGTGTCCAGTGGGAATTTGAAAGCACAAATTAGGGACCAGAGGCTAGACCACCAGTGAAATGCAGGAGAGTGGAAAATGAACACTCGTGTTTCCATAAAAATGTGACTACACCTTTTTGATGGCGTTTTAAATTGTCCTATTAAGAACTACTGGCTAAATGCAGAATCTGCAGTGAGCTCCAATAAATATTATTATTGGTCTTACTGGAGATCTTCCCTGCTGTATAATCTAAGTGAATCCACCAGCTTTGTTTTACTCGTTATGCTCAGATTTAAAAGACCAAATTCACAAGTTTCCAACTGCATTCCTAACCTAGAAACTTTCTCCATATCCTTCCCAATTCTAAGGCCATCACCATGGCAACATGAGTCATACTGGCCTTGTATCCAACTAGACAGCAATTAACTATCCTTTTCAGACCAATTTGCTTCATTATGGAAGCAAGTGTAGTGTTTACAACCTGACATCCTTGACAATTCACTGGGAATTCAGAAACTCACCACATTCACTGTTAGTACTCAGGTGCTGTTGTTGTCTCCAAGTTTAAACACTTTGCACCTTTGTACCAGAAAAACAATCTAGGCTTTCCTGTAACTATTAGCAGCCTCATCATCCAGACCTTTCATAAGCAGACTTTAGCATAGGTCGCATGGCCTCCCACATTTTACCCGAGTGGAAGAGAATGTCAAAACTACTTATAAAATCATAATTGTAACAAAGCAAAGGAACAAGCAAAGCTTCACTTGGCACCAGTGAATTACCCAGAATGGTCCTGGAAAGACCATTTGTGGCCTCAAAAATGTCAAGTGTCATGTGCCAAACTTAGTCCTTTTGTGCCTACTATCTACCTAGAAATTAGATCCTAGAAAAAAATCTTCAGTTGTATAGTCTGTAAAGATGCTACATGCAGGAGACAAAAATAAAGAATCACTAGGGAAGTAATTGCTGGACCCCTTGCTGAGATATTTGTATCATCAAAAGCCACAGATGAGCTTCCGGAAGACTAGAAGTTGGCTAATGTAGCATCACGAATTAAGAAAGTGGTAAGGAAACACCAGCGAACTACAGGCTGGTGAACCTGACATCAGAGGTGGGCAAGTTCTTTGATGGGATCCTGAGGGACAGGATTTACATGCATTTGGAAAGGCAAGGATGGATTACAGATAGTCAACATGGCTTTGTACATGGGAAATTGTGTCTCATTAACTTGATTGAGCTTTTTCAAGAAGTAACAAAGAGGATTGATGAAGGCAGAGAGGTGGACGTGATCAATATGGACTTCAGTAAGGCGCTCAACAAGGTTCCACATGGTAGACTGATTAACAAAGTTAGATCACCCTGAATACAAGGAGAACTAGCCATTTGGATTCAAAACTGGCTCGAAAAGAGGTTGTTGGTGGAGGGTAGCTTTTCAGACTGGAAGCCCGTAATTTGGATGTCAATATATGAGGTATGGTTAGTAAGTCTGTGGACCAAAACTGGTAGTGTAATGGACAGTGAAGGTTATATCAGAGTACAACTGGACCTTGATCAGGTAGGCTGATGGAGTTTAATTTAGGTAAATGTGAGGTGCTACATTTTAGAAAGGCAAGTGGGCAGGATTTTTACACCTAATGGTAGGGTCCTGGGGAGTGCTGCTGAATAAAGAGACCTTGGAGTGCAGGTTCATAGTTCCTTGAAAGTAGTATCGCAGGTAGACAGGATAGTAAATAAAGTGTTTGGTACGCTTGTCTTTATTGGTCAGTGCATTGAGTATGGAAATTTGGATGTCATGTTGCCACTGCATATGTTGGTTAGGCCACTTTTGGAATACTGCATTCATTTTAGGTCTCCTTGCTATAAGAAGGATGTTGTGAAACTTGAATGGGTTCAGAAAAGATTTACAAGGATGTTGGAGGGTTTGTGCAATAGGGAGGGGATATTTTCTGGCACATCAGAAGCTACGGAATGACCTTGTAGAAGAGGGGCATGGATAGGGTTAATATACATGGTCTTTTCCCCAGGGTAGGGGAGTCCAAAAATAGAGGGCATAGTTTTAAGGTAAGAGAGGAAAGAGTTAAAAGGGACCTATGGGGCAACTTTTTCCACACAGAGGGTGGTGCATACATTGAATGAGCTGCCAGAGGAAGTGGTGGAGGTTGGTACAATTATAACAATTAAAAGGCTTCTGGATGGGTATATGAATAGGAAGGGTTTAAAGGGATATGGACCAGATGCTGGCAAATAGGACTACATTAATACAGGATACAGGATATCTGGTCAGCTTGGACGAGTTGGACCAAAGGGTCTGTGTTGCCATGCTGTACAGCTCTATGATTCTTATGAATCATGTAAATACAAGACATATTTCAGAAGCACAAAGAATAGAGGAGGATAGGTAAGAGGAATTGGAACCATGAAAAACTAGTATAGAGACTACAACAGATTATAAATTCTAGTGAAAGAAGAAAGCAAGTTTATACTATAGGTGCAGTCCATTTCACCATTATGGTGTTTCACTAAAGGACTGAAAATACCCCTTCTTAGTTCCAATCTGCCGGCCTTTCAATTCTCCAAACAGTAGTACACCACTGGCAGCACCTACCTCGAGGGAAAATAGCACCTTCATTGCTGGTAAAGTCAATATTATGGCCAGACAGCAACAAAGTGTGACGAGGTGCTATTCCTTGAGCTTGTGATAAATATCACTGGAACAGAACAGAAGACAGATGACAATGAGAAAGCAATAAATAATAACATGTACTGACAAAGCACTATAATGCAGTAAACGATCCGCAGTTGCTTCTCAGACACATCATTAAACAAAAGTTTGCCATCAAGCTGAACTGCAGCAGACAACTTGGCTGATGCTTTGGAATTGGAAATTGTTATGAGCAGCTTGCTTAATTCAACAAGTGGTACATTCCAGACTGCTGTGTAGTCACAAGCCTGTATGCCTTAGAAGGAACATTGTCCTTTACTCAATGATTCCTTCCTACCTCCCTATTCAAAGTCATTCTACCTTTCAATTCTCGCACATTCCATTTGCTTCTCCCTCCCCTCACACATCCTATTCTATTTCAAATCAATCACCATCCCAATTCTCCCTTTACACATTACAAACATCCTTTCACTGATATGGTTATACTCTACCCTCACCCTTCTCATTCCCGCCTCTCCTCTTACTGGTCACATGATACTATTACCCTTAGAGGTCTAATTCTATCACTCTCTATACATCCCATTACCTCTCATATTCCACAGCTGGGCTTTTAACTTCCCTTTCCAACAGAAGCGTTCCAGGAGTCGTGGAAATTGGGAAGGAGCAGGCAGAATGTCGCAAGTGTAGGTCTGGGATTACATCATGAATGATCTTAAAAGCCCATTCATCTGACTAAATAATGAAATGAAACCATACGTAATCAAGTCTCATCTATTAACCTAGAAAGCTGCAATCATTCTTAAGTTTCCAAGCTGTCACATGTCATAGAATCCATACAGTGTGGAAGCAGGTCATTCAGCCCATTGAGTCCACACTGACCCTCTGAAGAGCACCACACTCAACCAACCCTCTTAACCTATCTCTGTAACCCTCCATATCCCATGGCCAATCCACCTAACCCGCACATTTTTGGTCTATGGGAGGAAACTGGAGCAACCAGAGGAAACCCACATAGACATGGGGAGAACGTGTGAATTCCACACACAGTCACCAGAGGGTGGAATCAAACCCAGGTCCCTGGCGCTGAGGCAGCAGTACTAACCGCTGATCCACCGTGCCATCAAATTGTCTTTCTCAATGTTAAAGATAGTCTTGCTGCTCATTTCCAGATATACCGTCCAACTCCCAACTCAATCTTTCTGCTTCTCTAATCATAGATCCCCTTCTTCTGTACTCGTTACTCCTCCACTTACAGATTCCCTTTCTCCCCTACTTGTTGTTGCTCCAATCACAGCTGCGCTTTTGTTCATGCATTTACCAGCAACTCTCACATTTGCTGTTGGGAGCTTGATGTTCAGTCTTACTTAAACTTGCTATTATGGCAGTGTGATCATTTCAACATATTGTACATTACCGAGAGCGGTGTACCTTACAGGAAGCATCAGCAACAGATATGGGTAATGATAGGAGGGGTAGATCATCGTTACTCCCTCAATAAATTACCAGGTGACATGACGGAGAATTCTTTTATAGAACAAATGGTTAGGGTTGGAAAACACAGCTCCATACAAGAAAATCATTTCAAAAGTAGTCTACAAAAAGAATTGGATAAATTTCTGTAGAAAATAAATAGTGGGGGTACCACTTATCTGGTGGTAAAGACCCCAGTTATGTCCTGCAAAAATTCTGTAAGATTCAAAGAAATCACCACTCATTGTTTTAAACTCAAAAGAATACAAGACCAAATTCCTCAATTCCTCTTCATCAGAGAATCCCACTATTGCAGAAATCAATCTGGAGAACTTTTGGCGCAGTCCCTTTAATGCAAGTATATCCTTCCTTTGGCAAGGGGACCAAAAGTGAGCACATATTATTATAGCAAGGCATTTTTACTCTGTATTCAAATGGTCTTGCAACTGACACTAACATTTGCCTTCCTAATTCCTTGCTGCACCTACATGTTCGTTGCTCTTTGGACACCAACACTTCCCAAACTCTCCCCATTTAAAAAAATACACTTTCTGATTCTCTTACCATTTAATAAATTTAAATTTTTCCACATTATATTCCATCTCCTATGATTTTGTTCACTCCATCATCCAGTCAAAATTCCCTTGAAGCCTCTTTGCATCCCCCCCAACCACTGACATTCCCACCAAATTTGGTGTCATCAGCAAACTTGAAAATATTAATTGGTTTTCACATCTAAATCACCAATACAGATTGTAAATAACTGGGGCCCAAACACTGTTCCTTGCAATACACTAGTAGGCACAGCCTACAACCTGAAAACAAATAATGTACTCCTACTATTTTCTATCTGTTGACCAATTCTCAATCTGTGCTAGCACATCATCCCCAATTCCAAGTGCTGTAATTTTGTTTACTGACCTTGTGTGGGACTTAATTGAAAGCATTCTGAAAATTCAAAAACACTGGTTTCTCCATATTCATTCTGCTGGTTATATCCTCAAAACTCCTATGGATTTGTCAAACATAAGTTTCCTTTTCATAAATCTACAGTGACTCTGCATAATCCTACCATTATTTTTGAAACATCCAGTTATGATATACTTTATAATGAATTCTAACATTTTCACTGCTAAATATATAAAACTAATAGGTCTGTAGTTTCCAGTTTTCTCTTTCTCCTTTCCGAGACCATGATGTTACATTTACAATCACTTAATCTGCAGGAACCATTCCATAACTTATAGAATTTGGAAAATTATGATAAATATATTCACTACTGCTACAGCCACTTCTTTCAACACTCTGGGATGGAAACCATCAAGTCTAGGGATTTACCAACTTCTGTCTAATTAATTTCTCCACCATCACTTTTTTAACTAATGCTAATTTATAATATCACAGAATTATACAGCAAAGAGGGCTATATGCTCCATTATGGGGTTGTGGGGGGGGGGGGGGGTGCGGAGGAGGTTGTACTGGTTCCCGAAGAGCTACCAAGCTAGTCCCATTCTCTAGCCGTATATGTAGAACATTACAGCGCAGTATAGGCCCTTCAGCCCTCGATGTTGCGCCGACCTGTGAAACCAATCTGAAGCCCATCTAACCTACACTATTCCATTATCATCCATGTTTATCCAATTACCATTTAAATGCCCTTAAAGTTGGCAAGTCTACTACTGTTGCAGGCAGGGCATTCCACGCCCTTACTACTCTCTGAGTAAAGAACCTACCTCTGACATCTGTCCTATATCTATCACCCCTCAATTTAAAGCTATGTCCCCTCGTGCTAGCCATCACCATCCAAGGAAAAAGGCTCTCGCTGTCCACCCTATCTAATACTCTGATCATCTTGTATGTCTCTATTAAGTCACCTCTTAACCTTCTTCTCTCTAACAAAAACAGCCTCAAGTCCCTCAGCCTTTCCTCATAAGACCTTCCCTCCATACCAGGCAACATCCTGGTAAATCTCCTCTGCACCCTTTCCAATGCTTCCACATCCTTCCGATATGTGGCAACCAGAACTGTCCGCAATACTCCAAGTACGGCCGCACCAGAGTTTTGCACAGCATCATTCATCACTTTCAAATATATACCAATTTCTCTTTGAATACCTCACATTGAATCCGTCTCCACTGCATTCCAAATCTTAACAACCAACGAAAGAAGTTTCTCCTTATCTCATTCATAGCTCTCTTGCTGACAATCTTGAAATTGCAAACCTCCCCCTAGTTACTGACATACCAACTAGTGGAAACATAACATCCCTCTATACCTTGTAAAAAAAATTGTTCATAATTTTGAACACCTCAATAAGGTCACCTCTTAATCTTCTCTGCTCCAAGGAAAATAAACACAATTTCTCTAATCTTTCTTTCTATCTAAAATCCCTCATTCCTAGTATCACTCTAACAAAGATTTTTCTGAAGAAGGGTCTAGGCCCGAAACGTCAGCTTCCCTGTTCCTCTGATGCTGCTTGGCCTGCTGTGTTCATCCAACTCTACACCTTGTTATCTCATCATTCTCACAAATCTCCTTTTAACTCTCTCCAGGGCTTTAAGATCCTTCCTTAAATAATGTGCCCAAAACTGAGCACAATACTCCAAAAGTGTTCTGACCAATGATATGTAGAGGTGCAGCATCACTTCCCTGCTTACAGTTTCTCATTCGCTCCTTGGTTTTTTAAAAATCTTCCTCTGTGAAGAGTTACACAGTATTTTTTAGATTGTCTGTCATTTCATCTCCTGACTGTCTGTAGCAGACCCATATCTGTCGTTGCTAATCTCTTCCTTTTTAAATTTACCTTTAAAAGCTTTCACAGTTCATTTTTAATTTTCCTTTCTTTATCAGTATCTTGGTACTCTTTTGCTGAATTGTAAAATGCTCCCAATCCTCAAGGTTATTACTTATTTTTGTCAACCTCATTAACACTTTTCCTTGGTCTAACTCAATGTTTCACTTCTCGTTAGATGCTATTCAATCACTTTTAAAGTTGGGATTTTGTGCCTCAATGTTTGCTGTAAGTCAAGTATTAATTATTTAAATGTTAGGCCTGTCCGTCTACTGTCATACTTTTTACTGCTGTCTACTGTAATACCTTTTAACATAGCTTCCCAGTTTACCACAGCTAAATTGATTTGCCCCTCATCGGTTCACAGTTTGCTTTGTTCAGGTTTAAGACACCAGTTTTGGATTGAACGATGTCACTTGCAAATTCATTGTAAAATTGAGACATATTATTGTCACTCTTCCCTAAAGACACCTTCAAAAAGATGATTAATTTGATCTCAATGCAAATTACAGTATCTAAAAATAGCCCTCTAGTTGGTTCCTTAATGTACAGTACTAGAAAACAATCTCTATACACTCCAAGAATCTTTATTTAAGATTAGCAGGGAAATCAACATTTCATGATTGAGTTTGGTCGTAATCGGACAATTCAAGTTAATAGTTAAGTGTCCATCACTGGGTATTGACTGCATATGCCTCCACGTTTAATTAACAAAGTGGTAAAGAACATTTCAAACTATCTTTTTACTCAAGTTAAAACAAAAGTCAAAAAGCGACAATAACAAA